AATAGGTATTTTACATAAAAGAAAATCCAAATGGCCAATAAATATATGAAAAGGAGCTCAACCTTTCATAATCAAAGAAATTCAAATTAAAACAATGAGAAACCATTACATACTCATTTGATTGGCAAAAACTAAAATGTCTGACAATTCCGAATATTGACAAGGATGTGAAGCAACAGGATGGACACAGCCGGTAGGAATGTCAACTGTTACAATCACTTTGGAAAATAGCTTGACATGGTACCCCTAGGTAAATTCATAGCAGAATGCATATTCTTGTATTACAGGAACTTGCACAAAAGTCAGAATTAACTCAAATCTCTATTTATATAGACAGGACTGAAAACTAAATTGTGATATATTTTCCACAATGAAATGTTTTACAATGATGAAAATTAACAAATTAAGACTACTCGCAACATGGATGTATCTCACAAACATAAGGTTAAGTGAAAGAAATAAGAGATTTGTAGTAGGAATCCATTCACTTATATAAAGTTCAAAAGCAGCCAAAACAAACAAACCAAAAAATAAAAAATACTTTTAGGAAATGCAAACACACATATAAAATGAAAAAGAAGGTAACAATTGTTACAAATATCAGGATGGTGGGCTGGGCCCAGCAGCTCACTCATGTCATCCCAGAACTTTGGGAGGCCAAGTTGGGAGGATCACTTGAAGCCAGGAGTCTGAGACCAGCCTGGGCAACATAATGAGATCCCAGCTCTACAAAAAATATTAAAAATTAGCCAGGGGTAGTGGTGCAAGCCTGTAGTCTCAGCTGCTTGGCAGGCTGAAGAAGGAGGATCTCTTGAGCCCAGGTGTTTGAGGTTGCGGTGAACTATGATCATGTCACAGCCCTCCAGCCTGGGTGACAGAGTCAGACCCTGTCTCTTAAAAAAGAAAATAATATATAATATAATATATATATATATATATATATATATATTAATCAGGATGGTGAGAGGTGGAAGGACTTACAAGTTTTTGGGGGAAGAGAGCACTCAAAATATTCTATGAATTAACCTAGGTGGCAAATACATAGAAACAACCAATGTATAGTCTACATTAAACCATTATATATATTTTGTGCTTTTTTCCTAACAATACATTTCATAATTTAAAAGAAAATAAAACAATCTTCACTCTATATTATACCCTAGATGCTAAAAAAAATTCAAATAGTTCACAGAGTTTAATTTAAAAGCACGAAACCATATGTAAACTAGAAGAAATATAAGCAAATAAATATCCAAGGTGGGTGCTGGGTGGCTAGGAACTACTTTTATATCCCCCACCCGCACCCCCATTTATTCTAATCTGAATCTTCTTTCCTATAAATAAATAAAATAGGCAGGCAATATAAAGGCAGCCAACCAACTGGGGAAGATACACTGGTGATATAAGGAACATATATCTACCTTTTGAGAAATTTGGGCTGAGAGCACAGAAGCCAGGCCTATAATCTGGTGTTGGCGCTGCTATTAGTGTACTTGGAAGATTAAGTATACAGGTATAAAACAGCCTCCACGGGGTGGACTTTATTCTAACTTCCCAAGCCTGCGTAGTTCACTAGTGGAGAGCAGACAGGGACATCTTAGCTCTCCCAATTCTGTCTCCTGGAACTGAAATTTTGATACAAGGAAAAAAGGTAGGGGATCTGCTAAATGTCTGTGGTTGGTGGTGTGAGGGCACAGAATGACAAAGGGTTTAAGAATGACAAAAGGCCGGGTGCTCATGCCTGTAATCTTATCACTCTGGGAGGCCAAGGTGGGCGGATCCTTTGAGCTCAGGAGTTCGAGACCAGCCTGAGCAAGAGTTAGACCCATCTCTACTAAAAATAGAAAGAAATTAGCTGGACAACTAAAAATATAGAAAAAATTAGCTGGGCATGGTCGCACATGCCTGTGGGCCCAGCTACTCAGGAGGCTGAGGCAAGGAGGATCGCCTGAGCCCAGGATTTTGAGGTTGCTGTGAGCTCAGCTAATGCCACGGTACTCTAACCTGGCAACAGAGTGAGACTCTGTCTCAAAAAAAAAAAAAGAATGACAAAGGTTTAAAGGTTTAAAATCCTGGGACAGGGGAGCTCTAGAATTGCTACGTTTATGAGGAGCTTAGACAGGAATGCACCGCTCATTGTAGGTATAGTACAAAAGGCTTTCTGAGTGCTTATGAAAATATTGGTAGTGGGGATCTAGGCAAGGTGGCTCACATCTGTAATCCCAGAGCTTTGGTAGGCAGAGGCAGGAGGGTTGCTTGAAGCCAGGAGTTCGAGAACAGTTTGGGCAACATAGCAAGATCTCGTCTCTACAAAAGAATAACAAAATTAGCCAGGCATGGTGGCACACACCTGTTGTCCTAGCTACTCAGAAGGCTGAGGAGGGAGGATCTTGAGCCCAAGAGTTTGAGATTACAGTGAGCTATGATTGCACCACTGTACTCTAGCTGGGGCAACAGAACAAGACTTTGTCTCTTTAAAAAAATGTTTTTAAACATATTTTCCTAGTTAGTATAGTGGTGCGCAAAAAAATATAGTGGTGATGGGGAGAGAAGTGGCAGGGAGAACAGCTCCATATGACTAAAAGAAAACTACAAAATGAAGATTAGTAAAGTAATTTAATTAAATGGACCAAATGTAGCATTATGTCAACCAAGTGTTTCAACTAAATCTCATCATAAGTATTTTACTGTGGACTGTAAGTGCATTTTGACATGAGGTCTCTGCAAGTAAGTGTCAAGGGTGAACAAAACTTGGTAAAGGTCTCTTAGCTGAGAACAGTTGAACAAATTATATTATTGACTATATTCTTACCAAGGACACATGCACCTCCTCTGATTGAATTCTGATCCACCCTACCCTACCCTAAGGGTGTGGCCCACCTTGAGATTCAATTAGGCATTAATCAATTAAGCTGATTCAATTAGGCATTTAGGATATAAAGAGATTCGCCAAAGACTAGTGAAAGTTTTTTTTTGTTTTTTTCTTTTTTGAGTCAGAGTCTCACTCTGTTGCCCAGGCTAGAGTGCCGTGGCGTCACCCTAGCTCACAGCAACCTCAAACTCCTGAGCTCAAGCGATCCTTCTGCCTCAGCCTCCCGAGTAGCTGGGACTATAGGCCTACACCACCACATCTGGCTAATTTTTCTATTTTTAGCAGAGACGGGTTCTCACTCTTGCTCAGACTGGTCTGGAACTCCTGACCTCAAGTGATCCTCCCGCCTCAGCCTTCCAGAGTGATAGGATTGCAGGTGTGAGCCCCCACACCCTGCCCTTTATCATTCTTAAACCCACTGTGCCCAGTGGAAGATTCAGATTCACCGCTTTGGCAGTGGATGCCAAGACGATTGACCATTTTCTTGTTCAGTTTTTTTTTTTTCCATTGGATATAATTTCCTCCCTTTCATTCACATAGAGGTTTTTGAGAAAAGCAAAACATCCTGAAGTGGCCCTGAGAAGCATTTTGGGGTGAGTCCCAAAGAAAGCCAAGGTGGAAGAAATTTGTTAAATATGAAAAGTACTGATGTGTGTAGTTGAGTTAAATTGTATTTGCATCTCTGGGACTGCCCTGGACTTGTTGCCAAAATCTTACTGCCACAGCATCTCTATAGATCACGTAAAAATTAATCTAGGTATTCCATACATATTTATTGAGCACCTACTTATGTTCAGGCACTATTCTAAGAGCTGGGGATACAGCAAAAGCAAAGAAAAACATAAACTGCTATTCTAGCTGGGGGTGTATCTATGAGTGCTAGGAAGAAAATAAAAAATAAAGTGATATCATCATCACTATTTAAACAAGATGGCCTTAAAGAGGCTTTTCTGACAAGATGATGATTAATTTAAATCAAGTTCAGTAAGAATTTGAGGTGTGCATTCATGAAGTCTCTGGGAAACTCTGCTATTTCCCAGCTGTGTGATCTTGTTCTCGGTTGCCTAACTTCTCTGAGCCTGGCCTGTAAGATTCAGAGAGGATGAGGAACATGCATTGTAAATGATAGCGTTTATTACAATTTACTAATGTAATTTAATATTAATTTTATGGATGTAATAATTTTCCCATACCCCCGCCCAAAATATTCCAGCACACCGCTGAGGGGGGGGGGGTTGGCACAGTTCCTGACACTTGTAATCAGGAATGGGACTGGGATCCCGCCACGGAGCAGGCATTCTTTTTTGCAGATCCAGAAAGCGCATGATTGCTAGCTTCAGTTCCCTGTCTATAAATTGGAGCTAATGGTAATGTTGACCCCCTTAGGGTTTCTGTTGTTAAATTGACTTTTATTGGGCCACATTTATTTCGGTGCATTGAACCTAGTGCCAGGCACGGTCTAAACTCGGGAATTGTATTCATTCATTTAATCCATAACAACCCACTAAACCAAGTACTATTTTTAACGACATCTTACAGCTAAGGAAACACAAGCACAGAGGAATTAATCTAGAGCCCCAGAGCTAGGGATCCAACCCAAACAACTTGGCTGCAGAGCCTGACAAAGTTATTAGGCGGTCAGCCCTGTGCCGAGCACACAGTAGCAGCTCAATAAATCTGTATGGTGGTGGCTGTTAGCCGTTCTACGCAGCGGCTGCTCCAGAACTGCCACTTACGAGGAGTTTAAGGCAGCCAGTTTGTTGGAAGAGGAAGCTAGGGAGCGCTTGCATAGCAACCATAGTTTATTGCATAGTAACCATAGTGTTTACTTAAATTGGGGGGCTGGGGGGAGCTGACAGGGGAGAAGGAGTTTGCCGGCCACCCCTTGGGATCCCCCTTTGCACGCGAAACCAGCATGGCAACCCCTGCCCGTGAGCGCTCCTTCCGGAACCGTCGGGTGAGCCAGTCCTCTGCGCGCTACCACCTCCCCCTCCGTTTTGAGGCAGATGGTTTCTTCCGTTGTCCAGGCTAGTTCGGGTTCCGAGCTCGGGAGTCACAAAGCACAGGGTCACGTGGGCGGGCCGGTGCGCTTTGTGACGCAAGAGGCTCCGCCCCCTGGCCCGCCTATCCGCGCACGCCAGCTCCGCCCCGCGCGCGCCGCCCGTGCAATCCCTGCTTAAGAGACCCCGGAGTGGGGCGCTCGCCCGAAGCCAGGCCGCGTCCGCCATAGTGCCTGGCCTGGAGGTGTCGCCGACGCCTGGTGAGGGCCCCAGAGCGGCAGGGGGGCAAAACAAAAAGGGAGCCATCGAAGCCCTCGCCGCTGCCCGGCGGTTTCCGGGCGTATTCTCGCGGTTCTGGGCCTAAAGCCGACGGGAACGAAAGGCGAGAGAAGCGCGGAGATCCGGCGAGAGGAAGCGTCAGGGATCCTCGGCGGTGTCCCCGGGGTCCGCCGAAGCCACCGGGCCGCTGGCTGGGGCCCGGGGTGGTGAGGAAGTGCTTCGAGGCCTAGTGAGGCCTAGTACCGGCTTTGTGTCTGAGGCGGCGGCGGCGGCGGCGGCGGCGGGGGGGAGGCGGAGCCGGAGCCGAGGGCGGCCTGCGGGAAGGCCTCTCCTCCGCCGACCGCGCGTTTTCGGCCTAGGCCGCGGGGTCGCTCGTGGCCTCCGGGGAGCAGGCGAAAGGGGTTTGTGTGTGGTGGGGGCCTGGGCCTGGGGAAGCTGACGCCGGTCGTCCGGAAGCCAGGAGGAGGCGAGAGGCCGCTCGTGGACTCCGGGCCTAGGCCCTCTCCCCTCAACCTTCTCCCGGGGCCTGGGTCACCCCAATCCACGGAAAGAGAGACCAGCCGGGAGGTGCGGCCGCGCTATGGACCCCTGACCCCGTGGGGTCATTCGGACTCTAACGTGTGGACTGACCGCTATTGACTGCACCGCCTGTCCCCCGTCTCCTGCCGGCCCTTAGCATGAGCGAGGGGGACCCAGCCGGGTGACATTGTGCCCGTTGGCGGATTCTCCATTTCCCCTCTTCCCCATCCTCGTCCTCTTAACTCCCACATGAAGTGATTCTGAGTATCGGGGGGGTTCTGGATTATTGTTCTTACGAACCCCTGCTTGTGGTTGGGGGGTATTTAATCTGAGGCCTTAGGGTCCTTCGGTGTCTTTGAGTGTTTTATGTGTGTACATATTTTGCTCGTAAGTTTATAAATATACATATATTGAGAGTGTCCACGTCTCCTCGCTGAACCTTAGGAATCCTTTGGCACCATGTCCTGTGTGCATTATAAATTTTCCTCTAAACTCAACTATGATACCGTCACTTTTGATGGGCTCCACATCTCCCTCTGCGACTTAAAGAAGCAGATTATGGGGAGAGAGAAGCTGAAAGCTGCCGACTGCGACCTGCAGATAACCAACGCGCAGACGAAAGAAGGTAAGAGCCACATGGGCTCCAGATATTTGCTGATGGAGGATAGATACTAGTTGTAAGGTGCCTGGCAGAAGACTAACCGCCATTATGTCTCTTGTGGGACTGTTCGTTCTAATACTTTTGATACAACTTTCATTGATAGCTAGGGGTTGCAGCAGCCGGTTTTGGAGTTTAACTGTCTTACTTGGTTTCGGTATATTTGAGTCATGTGTAACAGGCTAATCCAAAAGCGTGGAAGTCTGATTATTCTTCTCAATGTTTTTAAAAATGAGAGGGGATGAAGGGAGTTGCCTTACGGCTTTTCTAACTTGTTTTTCATCAGAAGGCGGGGAGGAGAGCATGCACAAGGATTTTATGTTAAAGCAGCAAAAGAGATACTTCTCTAATTTTCTAACCTAACAACGTTTTGGAGTTCAATGGCAAATTTTATGTCCTCCCTTTCTGCCTCCCCCCATTTATTTGGAGTTGCCTGTGTTGTGGAGAAGGGATCCTTACTTTAATATTTTTGACATTTAATTAGTGTTGGAATTGTTTTTGGCACATAAAATGTTCTGATGTGACCACGCTTGTGTAAATTCCAGAATTAGCAATATAATAATTAAGTAGTTGAACTTAGTTCATGACATTACTCTTAAAATTTAGCAATTTGGTAAAGATCAAAAGTACTGATGTTTGTTTTTTAAAGTAGTAATTGTTAAACTTTACATGACCCCACTGATACTAGGATACTGAAAAATAGGCTACTACCATAGAGTACAAATAAGCCATTTAATGGTGGGGACCTGCTGAATCTTTAGGGTTTTTTCTTCTTTTTAAAAGTGTTTTATAATATTGGGAATTTAACAGTAGAGAAATGTGACAAGCAGTCTTTTCTGACTGTGAACTTGTTTTGGTTTCTTTTTCTCAGAACTGTAATGCTGATGTGTAGTTTTCAGTAGATCGGTCTTCTGAGAGTTATTGATGGGAGGAGAAGAAATAAAGTTCTAGCTAAGCTAGGATATTTTTTGATCACTAAATTTGGCTAAAGGTGTGACATGGATTCTTTTAATTGAAATGAGAAGTCCCCCACCTGTCACCTGTAGTTTGTTAGGTAGAGTAAATCTTGTCATGTAGAAGACCAATTTTCCATTTACAATGTAGACATAAGTAAAATTGTATTAGGTTAAGGAATGGCAGTGCTGGCATATCTTGACTCAAAAATACTCATAAAGGAAGAACTTTGCTCGTGTGTTAGTATATGAAAATATTGTCTTCTTCCCTTCCTTTTTAAAAACAAGTGCCATACCCTTTGATAATCATAGTCATGTGTAATACTCCTCTGCTTAAGGAGAGGAAAAATTATTGGTGATCATGAACAATTGAGAAATGGCTTTTTTAAGTTCACTAAAAGCATTCCTTAAGTATAATAGTCACATTTCACAGAACAGATGGATTTATAAGAATTTTAGGGCTGGGCTAGGTTGCTCACGCCTGTAATCCTAGCACTCTGGGAGGCTGAGGTGGGAGGATCACTCAAGGTCAGGGGTTGGAAACCAGCCTGAGCAAGAGCAAGACCCTGTCTCTACTAAAAATAGAAAGAAATTAATTGGACAAATAAAAATATATAGAAAAAATTAGCCGGGCATGGTGACACATCCCTGTAATCCCAGCTACTTGGGAGGCTGAGGCAGGAGCATCACCTGAGCTCAGGAGTTTGACATTACTGTGAGCTAAGCTGACACCACGGCACTGTAGCCAGGGCAACAGAGTGAAACTCTGTCTCAAAAAAAAAATAAAAATAAAAAAAATAAAGAATTTTAGGCCATCTTGATATATTAATGAGTATTTATGAATGAAAGATGATATAAATGAAATTAAAGGATATCGGGGCAATTTGAGTCATCATATACTTGCAGGTTTCATATTTTACCTGGCGTATTATGCAGTTTAATCATTTGAGGCTAGGCTTTATCCATCCTTTCCACCCAACAATTGAATGCAGTTTGTTAGAATGGAGTATGTTATGGTTGAAGAAATCTTGTCCACAAATTTAAGAGTTTTGTGACTCTGTGTTTTATTTTTGTAGTCCAGGAAATATGTGATATATAATCCAAGCCTTGAAAGAGAAGTGCTTTGCCCAGCAGATTTTCTTTTATTTATTTATGTGAACTGCCTTTGACTGGAGAAAGCTTTGATGTTAGTTTGGTTAAGAAAAGGGGTGGGAGGGTGTATATTTTACTTAATCTTAAATTAGGGGAGAAAAGGATATCATTGGTGGTAGTGTGGAGGTAGCTACTCAAAGTAGTTTTGTGGGAGATAGTATCCACTGTCACAACGCAGTTGAGTAAGAATGCCACTTTATTTGTGGCATACAAATATAGCTTTGTAGGAGATTGCCTATGGGAATGCAGAGCATTAGTTTGTTTTTGAATGAATATTTAAATTACCTAATCTACCATGTTTCTATAAAACACTTTCTTACAGTTTTAGAAGTCAGGCCGTATTTAGGATCCTTAAATCTTGATAAGACTAAAGTGCTTGGATCAAAATTCTATGTACTTGAGAATTCTACTTACTTATTTCTGGACTATATTTCAAATGAATCCCAAATGATCTTTGTTATATGTGAAACACTTTACTGCACACTGATCCCTGAAAAACAACCTTTATTTGAACTTGGTGTGAAAGATTTGGAAGCTGAGTATGAAATATTTTTTAAAGAACCCTTATTATATTTCTGACTTTTTCCATTTTTTAATTTTTTTTTTTTTAATTTCATCTATGCCTTTCATGTTTGGGGTCAAAAATTACACTGGTGAGGAGAAAGGGTCTTTTGAAGGCAGCAGACTACTTGTTAAGGAGGTATTTTAAGTGTGAAAATACTTTTAGGCAATTGTTGTAATTCAGATATCTAAAGAGAACATCTGTTTGAGGAACATGGGGCACCTGACTTTCAGTTTGACAAAATTAATAAGCTGTCTTCAAAACGCTATTGTAAGTGCATTTGAGAGATGTTAGAGATTCAGAAACTTCCTTGCAGGTATTTGACACTAAGTCTTGTTTCTAGAATTAACTTTTTAAAAATCCGCCATCTCTCCTTTTCCGGAGTTTTCTGACTCAGAGCTTGCTTAGAATTTGGGACTATCGTGAACTATCCAACATAATGATTATAGTCTTATATTGGCATGCCTAAATCTAGGAAATTGCATCACTCTAACTCTAATTGAATACCTATGAAATATAGCTTCCTACTTAAATATACTGGAAAGACTCTTGCCAGAACAATTAATTTAAAACAGGGAATATTAATAGTATTTTGACTAAATATAATAAAGCTGATACATATTAAAACCCTAAAATGCCTAAGTATATGATAAGCTCCAAATAATTGAAGGAACAGAAGTAGTCAGCCACTCTGGTAACTTAGGTGAAGCAAGTAAACTTAATGTTAACAGTGAACCCTAATGTCTGGTTGTCTGATTAAGGGAGATGGATATATTTTTGCATCTTGTAGTGAGTTATTTTTCTTTTTGTTACTTTTCCAAATTCTTTTCTTAGCTAGCAATTCTTTTTACCATAGTTTAGGTCTAGTTTCTTAATTTCATTCTTACAGATATATTGTAAATAATAGTCTAAGGAGTAGAAAAATAGAGTCCATTCATCTTCCTTGTTGGTCTTCTCAGAAAGTTGACATCATTGTTTATCCAGTGGCTACAGACAGGAATCCAGGAATTCCTCTGGCCTGCTTCCTCTTTCTGCTTCATCTTCCCAGTATTCAGTCCGCCAGCAAGCCTTGTCGATTCTGCCTCAAAACATTTCGTCTCCATTTCTCTCTGACGCATCCCAACACAATCTGTCATTATCTCCACCTGGATTATTTAGCAGCTTCCTTATTAGTCACCCTTTTTCTTCTCTTTTTCTCCTACAGTTCATTCTCCCTGTAGATGCCAGAGTAATTTTTTTTTCTTTAATATAAATCAGTCATCATCACTTTATTTAAAATCCTTCAAAGACTTCCTGTTGTACTTAGAAACAAAATATAAACAAGTGTATGATCTGTACCTTTCTAACTATGTTTCATGTCATTCTTCATTCTCTTTAGCTCATCAGCCCTTTTTGTGTAATTTCTTCACATGCTTTTCCGTCTGCCTGAAATACTCCTTTTTCATTTATTTTTTCTGGGCTGACTTCTCATTCTTTTAAGTATGTAGTGTAAATTCCTCACAGGGACTTTCTTTGAATCAACATTATATCCAAAGATGCATTCCATGATCATTCTTTGTTAGAAAACCTTTTCTTATTTATAACATGTCATAATTTAAAAATTTCTAGTCTATTTTCCCTGATAATAAGCTTCATAAGAGCAGAGATTATAATTCTCAACTCATGTTTAGAGGCTAGGAGAAATAGAATATCTCCATTCAAAATAACAACTTTTTCTCATAGTTAACATGTTCAGTGTTACTGGCTAAATAGGCTAGAGAAAGACTTAGTCTTACTGAGATTTTAGAGTTCCACAGAAGTAGAGATGCTAGAGCTAAGAACCTGTTCACACTATTTATTGTCTCTTGAAGAGAAGCCCCCTTGTGGCTTTGGATATTCTGACAGTATGTAGATGCAAGGAACATGTAGTTATTAATGCTCTTTTATATTAAGTTTGTTTCCCATAAAATTTATATTTGGTTGAAGTTTTCTCATTCTTGGATGCTTACCCAAATCCCCCAATAGAAATTCGACTATCTTTTTATTTACAGAATATACTGATGATAATGCTCTAATTCCTAAGAATTCATCTGTAATTGTTAGAAGAATTCCCATTGGAGGTGTTAAATCTACAAGCAAGACATATGTTATGTAAGTATTTATCAAATCTCATGTACTTGGCAACATAGACTTTTTTAAAAAGTTTATTAATTTTGTGAGAAAGAACAAGTGTATTTTAGAACTGAACTCATTACTTTAACCTTCGTATATCTTCTCAGTCCTCAAAACTGTGAGGATAGGGTTTTTTGGTTGTTGTTTTTTTTTTTTTATTTGTTTTTTTCTGCTTTCTTCCCCCAGTTAAATTGACTCAACTGTGATTAAAAGTAAGAGCTCTTCTTAGGAAAAGTTTTTGTTCCGTATGGGCAGTATTTAGAAAGATAAAAGAGAATAAATATTTCTGTACCCTTCTTTGGGTTTGATTTGCCTACTTTTTTTGTTCTATTTACCACAAAAATTTAAGCATCAGAGAGATTTGTCCTAAATATTTTGATAGCATCAAGAGTATTCAGTTAGGCCAATATTTGCTACTTATAATAAGGGGCTTTGGTTGTGAGGCTGTAGAGTATATAGGATTTATAAGCATGGACCAGGGGTGGGGATTCTTTTCATATTGGAAGGCCGCATTAATTTAGCTATAATCAATTAAGGCTGCATTCAAGAAACTTAGATATACTTTAAAATGTAAATTATTTGGTAAAAAGTCTAACTACTGTGTACTTAATAATTTCAAAAATGAAAACTGTTAATTTTAAGGTTAACTTACTAATGATGTTGTTGTATCTGCTTTTTGTTGGAAAGCATTTGAATATTTGGTTGCAGCATGGAGATCCACAATTTCAGTTGATCTTCTAGATGGGTATCAATCATTTGTGACCTTAAGGGCGTCTTGATTTGGGTTAGGAAGGAGAATGTAGATTTGCAGCAATAAGTAGTTGAAAAGCAAGAAAGCATTTTGGGGCATGTCGCTAAAGGTTTCTACTGCATTTTTCCATATTTCAGTTGGATCTTTCTTAGCATCAAACAATGACTTTAAAAATGTCATCCCCCGAGAGCTCAATCAGTTCCATCTGTAGTTCTCTAGGTGCCTTGATGATACCAACTAGGTGATGCTGAAATACTAATTTGAGTGTGATGTCATGATTCTTAAAGTCAGTGGACCTTTCACTATATTCTCCAATTAATTGGTCTATAACAGCTGCATATTCTTCAAATGATTCACATATATCATCCTGCTCATCAGTGACCTTTGCTAACTGGGGAAAATGCTCATACAAAATTTCCTTCTGAAGAACTGGTGTTTCAGGTTTTTTGTTGTTTTGGTTTTTTGCTTTTGGGACAAAAGCTCAGTTGTCCCAAATAGAGTGCATGGCGGCATCATAGCTCACTGCAACTCAAACTCCTGGGCTCAGGTGATCCTCCTGCCTCAGCCTCCCAAGTTGCTGGGACCACAGGGTACACCACAATGCCCAGCTAATTTTTCTATTTTTAGTAGAGATGGGGTTTTGCTCTTAGGCTGATCTTGAACTCCCGAACTCAAGTAGTCCTCCCACCTCAGCCTCCCAGAATACTAGGATTATAGGCATTAGCCACCCCCGGCCTGACGAAGTGTTTGGAGAAAAGATAAATTTTCTGTTTGAAATACTTGGGGTTTTTTGCCACATATCTTTCATATATTTAGTTTTACCTTGCAAAGAAATATTCAGGTTGTTTTGACGTGATAACACAGAAACACTACACTCCTATAGAAATCTTTCAGTAATTCACATTGCTGATCCTGTTCTTCATAAAATTTAATTATCTTTCTCACAGAGATAAAATTTTGGCTAACACCTATCCTTGTGATAGCCAACTCACTTTAGAATGATGTGGCAAATCCATACTGAATACCTCATGGTTCAACTTCAGCATGTTATGAACCTGACCATGCCATGTTGCATTTGCACCAATACAGTTAACAATACTTATAACTTGTTGCAGAGTGTCACTTAAAATAATAGCTTTAGGATAGAGATTTTGCTGATACAAGATACAATGAAGAGAAAGGAGAACATCTGGATCTGTTAATACTTTTTTTATCTGTGCAATAAACCTTTCATGTTTTCCTGTCGTAGAAGGTACACCATCTGTACATACACTTACTGCATTTACCAAATTCAGTCAAACTTCATCACATTTATCTTGGGAGTCGTTAAAGATATCTATTCCCTGTGTTCAGTTCACAAGAGTGGCCAAAGCAAATATCTCTTCATAGCAAAGAAAATCTTCTATCATGAAGTATATAATGTCTGTGCCGAGTCAGTAGTATAAGTTGATTCATCCAAAGTGATTGAATGATGTATATTTTCCTTTTGAAGTATTACATGAAGTTGTTCTGTTAAGTTGAAGGCTAACTCATGCTGCTAATCAGTTATGGTTCTCCTTGAAAAAGAGGCAGTTGTTTGTACTTTGAAATGTTATCGGAGTCTAAGCATCCTACAACTTCGACAATGCATTCTTTCACAATTTCTACATCACTGAATGACTTCCTTTTTCCCCCACCCAAGTATATAAGCTACTTTATAAGTTGCTTCAGTAGCATTATTTCCAGGTCTTATTGATGCTTGAAAAAATTATCTTTCCTTTTGCTTTTCATCTTTTAATTTCTGCCATAAACTCTCACCAACCATTGTCATGTGGTAGTGGCACCAGTCAGGCGGGGGAAGTTAGAACTAAATCATGAGCGTAGCATCCATCAGTTTAGCCCTGTGGCTTACCAATGTTCTAATTGTGCCAGTCAGTCTGGGAGGAATATTAAATTGAAGCTTATTCTTTGGTGTTTTACTTATGTTCATTTTAAAAGTAAAAATATAAAATAGAAACAAAAATGTATTAATGAAAATAAAAGGATTTGTTCTGTAAAATTTGGATTGTCAGAAGGCCACACTTGAGGACCTAGGAGGCTGCATGTGGCCTTAAGGCCACAGGTTCTCCACCCTCGGCATAGACACTGGAATCAGGCTTAGGTTTCACTCTACTTACTGCTTTATGTCCATTGTGTGACTTCAGGCAAGTTACCTAAAGTCTTTGTGCCTCAGAATCCTCAAAAGTAAAATAAGGTTGTGTGGGTACTTAACTCACAGAGGGTTTTAAGAATTAAATAGTGCCTGGCACATGGTAAATACCCTTTATTGGGGTAAGAATATAGCAGTCTCTCAGGACTAGTCTAGAGCTTATATTCACTAAAGGGCAAGATTAAAACTTTATGTCCTTAACTTTCTCTATTTTCTTGCAATTTTTATTAGTGGTAACTCTAATGTGTGGAAAGGGCAGCAGCTTAGGCCATTTAAAGGGTAGTGATTTCCATTTAGATACTAGGTAGCTTTGGCTAGGTACAGTGGCTCACACCTGTAATCTTAGCATTTTGGGAGGCCAAGGCAGGGAGGATAGCTTGAGTCAGGAGTTCAAGACCAATCTGGGCAACATAGACCCAGTCTCTAAAAAAATAAAAATAAAAATTAGCTGTATGGTGGCCGGAGCTCATAGTCCTAGCTATTCAGAACGCTGGAGTGAGAGGATTGCTTGAGCCCAGGAGTTTGAGGTTATAGTGAACTGTGATTGCACCACTGCACTCCAGCCTGGGCGACAGAATGAGACCCTGTGTTTTAAAAGAAGGAAAGAAATTTGGTAGCTTTGAAATTTTGGCAAATTCTGCTTTGGATCAATAAAAAATTCTGGAATTTGCCAGTCCTGTGAAATGGAATGTGTTCTTGGAATTGAGTTAAAATAGAGCAATTTCTTGGAGCTTTATACTCATGTGGGCAAGAATTCATTCTAAAAAAATTTCTCATTAGTTGTTTCTATATCTTAACATTTGACAGTCCTTTTGTGTAATATCTTCTGTATAGTAACAACATTAAAAAGCTGAATATTTCTTTCATTGTTGTAATTTCCAAGTGAACTTAGTGGTATGTGCTTTTACCTTTAAATGATTCTAAGAATTATAAATTATAAGAGGAGAATTAATTCCTACACTCCAGTGTGACATTGCACTTTAATTTATCAAGTGCCCTGCAAATTGACTAAGGGGTTGGAAAAAAAGTTTGTTTTTTTGTTTTGTTTTGAGACAGGGTCTTGCTTTGTTGCCCAGGCTAGAGTGAGTGCCGTGGCATCAACCTAGCTCACGGCAACCTCAAACTCCTGAGCACAAGCAATCTTCCTGCCTCAGCCTCCCAAGTGGCTGGGACTGCAGGCATGCGCCACCATGCCCGGCTAATTTTTTCTATATATATTAGTTGGCCAATTATTTCTTTCTATTTATAGTAGAAATAGGGTCTCACTCTTGCTCAGGCTGGTTTCGAACTCCTGACCTCGAGCAATCCGCCTGCCTCGGCCTCCCATAGTGCTAGGATTACGGGCATGAGCCACCGTGCCTGGCCAGAAACTCCTTTTAGATGTTATCTAACATTTCTCTGTAATCAAGATATGAATAACTTAAAACTAAGTATTTAAGGGCTGTATTTAACAACTCAATCCCTGTCCCCTTTCCTGTGTAGACTTAAAAGAATTTCTTTTTGAATTTAATTTGTATGTTCTTTTAAATATCAAATTGTCCAATTCATTCTGTGCATCTATTCAGTGGGGGTAAGGGAGAACTGTCCAATTCAAAATACTCTATATTGTATTTTCCAGGGAGTTAGAATTCTTGTTCAATTCTTGGTCATTGTTTTGAGACGTTTTAAAAATGAAAATAGCTATCAACCTGTCTTTCCAGATTTGAAACTCAGTTTTCAGAGCACAGCAGTTTCTCAGGGGTCCAAATTATAAATGTTGACAGCAGTGCTCTTTAAGAAAATCTGTTGGGCGAAAATTTACATCTGGACCTATTCAGAAACTGGGGAATAATATAGTTTAGTTTTTCAGTCTCTTAAGAATAAACCACAAAGTTTCTAAACAGAACAAAATCCCCACGCTACTTTTTAGAAAACATTTATTGTAAGTGGCAAGGTATACTTATTTTTAGAATTCCCTAGTGTGGAATTTTTTTTGAAACCACAAATGTGTCTTAAACTGTTTCAAAGGTGGTAAAGATGAATCATAGTACTTTATTCGTTCAGAAATTGGCTGTTTTAAAATCTTGGTACCAAAGGAAAATTGTGTTTCTAAAAATGTGTGATTGAAAATGTGTTAAGATTTATTAGCACAAAAATTCATAAATAGCTAATGTTAGTTTTTGTTGTTTTTGTTTTGTTTTTTAGAAGTCGAACAGAACCAGTGATGGCAACTACAAAAGCAGTATGTAAAAACACAATCTCACACTTTTTCTACACATTGCTTTTACCTTTATAATGTAGCAGTGAAGTAAATCATTTTAGAACTTAATATCCAACTGATCATAGTACATATTGTAAATAAAATGTATTTTGATGACAGCTCAGTTGAATATTGGTATATGTGGCATAATTTGCACATTTATTTTGTAGAGTGGGTAATTTGTGCCCATAACATTGTTTCATATTAAATATGATAGCATTCTCCCTGTATGACACTGTGTTGTACAGTTAATGTATGATCCTTTTTAGATGGTTTAGGTTTTACACTAAAGAACATGATGACATGTTCTACATCTGTCTGTCTATAGTTAGTATTTTGTATGTATGTACAGGCTGTTGTGTGCTTTTTGTTTCTTGCAATAAAAAAATGTTTGGAGTGTATATTTTGCCATTTTCACGTTGTATCACTTAGTTTTTGTTAGTTTTTTTTTTTTTCTGCCTGATTGATGGCTTTCAAAAATGCATTAGCAACATGCAAAGCTTAAAGTTTGATGTTTTCTCCAATTTCAAACACATCATAGAAAAGAGCTTTCCAGGGACCATTGATGCAGCCTTATTTTAGTCTCACTTTATTTGGCAATTTTGAGCTCCTGTTCTTTGTTTACAACTGTACTATAAAATGAAACCCAAAGTTGGGACCCCCTATGAATATATAAATGTCTCGATGATTTTGATGATTTTATATAATTGGGTACATTGTTTTCAGAGTTTAATATGAATAAGATCTTCCACTTCTATCTAGTCAGCTTAAATGTCCAAATTGAAATATTTCCCTCTTTCTCAGAAGATACTAAAATGCTGCATTAATTAATTGTAGACTGTTAAAAGCTGTAGCTTATCAAAGGTAACTTCCCTTAACCAGGGTAACATCTTAATTTTTGTAATCACAGATTAACCTTAAGTGTGACACCATTTTGACTTTCAAGCTCTAAAGGAAAAGGTAGCATTTCTAAGTTAAGGAATGAAACATCTGTTTCAGAACACAGGTCTATCATAACGGGGTTCTGTAAACTTGATGGTTCTCTAAACATTTTACTGCTCAGGCTTGATGTTGTACACAATGCAAGATGTCTGAAATCTTCTTTTAGAAATTAAGGGTATTGCTTGCTATTGCACTTTATACTTTTTAAATACTACTGATCTTTGTGTATGAGGCATTTCACTAACCTTGGATCATTGAATCTTAAACATAACATAGATTATCTGAACTTTGGACTTGTTCTCTAGAGTATATGGCCTTTAGTTCTCATGGAACTAAATATAGTAATTCAAAGATCAAAAGTCTTAGTGTTTTGGGTTTTTTTCCCCCTCTTTTTGGATATATGGGGTTTTTTTTTTAAGCATAATACTGTAAAAACTGTCCAAGTTTCTGTTTTGCTGGTGATTGGTTTAAAACTGATTTTTATGTATCCAAATGCTAGCACAAATTAGATCGACTATCCTGGTTACTGTAGTAGTTAATGTAACACATTTTGTATAAAGTACATTTTATATAGAATTTAAACTAATTCAGATGAAGTTTTATTTCTTGAAAACAATTATTTCTTTTTTGTTTATTAGCATGTGTATAAACACAAATCACATGTTCATAAATAAAGTTAAAATTCTTTTAGCCTTGTGTGTTCCCTGGCATGTCTGTATTACATTTATAAGAAGCAGCTTATTTTAAGCTTATTTAGGTTTCTCTTTTCTGTTTGTTTTTTTTTAATACTTTAAAAGTGGCTTTAATTTTTAGGTAGAATTATCTGAAATGGAGACATCAGATACTTTGTTATCCCCATTATTTATTTGCTTGGGGTACATTTGCTGACATTTAGGATGAGAGAATATACTCATCAAGCATAATTAGTGTCCATCTAAGGAGGCTTAAGAGTCATGTGGATTGTACACATTCACAAAAGCAAAGTAAATAGAGGCGCATAGCCAATTTTTAAAATTCTAATTAGAAGTGTGATAAATGCCTACTTTTCTGGTAATTTAAGCCAACTCTAATCAAGGGTGGCTGCTTCCATATTCCCCAGCCTTGTTTTATTTAGTCATCCTTCCATGTTGATACGCCATAGACGGATGTTCTTCTCCTAACTAAACATCAGAATTAGATTTTGTAAGATCCTTTAAATTTAAGCAAGTATAATTGGTACAAAAGATTACGAATCTTTGCTCCCAGAAACAAGACACCAAATTAGATGCAGGGAGGTGGGTTAATTTTAATGTCCACAGTATGAATTGATCAATTCGTGAAGACTCTTTTTTTAACGTGACAGACTTATTTTTTTACCATTAGTATCTTACTAAGAGTCACTATATTTATTGATGTTTAGTACATATAAATTCCTAATCATTTTAAACCATTCTTTGTCAACATTTTCATTCATTTCTTAACACCTTGCTATATGTAGGAAACAAAATTAGATGCTTTTCTAAATTTGTGATCAAATTGACTTCTTTGTGGATTATAAGATATTTAGGGGCAGTAGTGATTATTTGGTGGGGAAAAATGATTTAGGTGCAATTGCACATTTAAAACCACTTTCAGGTCAATAATACATGGTACAATAATAATTCAGTGAAAGGCTAAAAGGAAAGGATGAAGAAGGCCCAAAGACTTTTTAAAAATGTTTTTCAGTTCCATTGGTAAGAAAGTTAATATATTGGTTACTTTCTTTCTAAGGAAATCATCAGTAGTTGTATTCCAGATAGTAATGGGCTATTTTTAAAGGCTAGTAATTTGTTTCATTGGTTAGAAACATATAGATGATGGTTGACAGTAATTTGTTCAGTCCTTGTAACTTCCTGGTTAGTGTAAAATGTAACCCTCTTTAAAACAGATTGAGTAGGTCAGAATTTATTCTGCATAAAGATAGAATATGTATGCTTTTGGTTTTTTCCTACTTAGCCTTTGAGATGAGTTGTTAATGGAAAAAATACTTCAAAGCTAGGCAAGAATGAGAACCCATTGACAAATTATGTGGTTATTCAGTTATGTGTCAGGAATGTGGGATTAGTGCATTGTAAACTCTTCATAGTCCCTCAACGTGGAGCAGAGAACCTTTTATCTGAATAAACATCCAGTGATGTCCATCAAACTAACTTTTAAAATCCTAAGATATTTGTGAGATACATCTTAGAGTTAGTCAACATTGTTTTTATTTACATTTATTGATTCCCTAATATGGTGGGCAAGGCTAAGAACTTCATACTGAGACTGGTTACATTTCTATTCCAGGCTTATAAATCATGCTGCTTTTATTTTAATACTCTTGGTTCTCTGGAATACTTGAATACAATGAAGACTTTTTTCTTTGATCCAGACATCTTGTTACATTCCCTCCATTTTAAATAGGAGTTCTGACCAATGCATGAGAAACTTATAACATGTTGAGTAAGGAACCTACTTACTACATAGGAAGCTGTAGGGAAATCATATCTTCAGGATCACTTGCTAAAAGATATCTGTGTGAGTGTGTGTTCACACAGACATATACACTTTTTAAAAGCTGATGTTAAAATCATTTTAGGGGATCAAATAATTTAAAATTTTTTTAAGTAATTTTTAAAGCTCCCTTTATATCTTATATATATATTTGTTCTGTTTGATTAAATTGTTTCTTTTTTCCAAATACTAGAACCCATCATCATATGTGACAGCTGTTTTCCCTTTCCCCAGGCTGCCGCTGTTTTCCCCTTTTTTTGGCTTAACATCTTTGCCCTGATAAAGCTGTGGTTTCTTTGTTACTTTTTGTATTAGAGAATAAACAAACTTATTCAGGCTAAGCAGTACATGCTCAAAAAAAGAAAAAACATAGCAATTATATCAGAGCTGTTATTTATTAAAGCAATTATCTGAGCCATTAAAGAGCTGCTTGTTTTTACAATGTTGTATAAAGGCATTCTGGGAAAATGAGAAGGATTTCTTTTTTTCTCTTCTAGTGTACATTGTCTTGAGCATTATCAAATTTAGAGACCATTGAGAGACATGGGACTCTTAGTATTTAGTCACCACTCTAAACAGATTTTCTATGTAATAGAATTTTCTTTACCCCATTTTTTTCATTGTGATTGAGTTCCCCACCCACACAACTGATAGCCCTTTATAACTATGTGTGAAATATGTAGAGAAGGATTAAGTTGGTTGAGTTACACTTTCAGGCTTAAAACAAAGTAACAGTCTGTAGAAAACTAAGAAAATGCCCAATATTTGAACATTAAGTATCATTAGGGGCTAAATGATCACTTTAAGATGTTTTCAGTTTGGAACTTGAATGTGTGTTTAATTTTTTGTGAACAGATTGATGACCCTTCCGCGTCTATTTCTCTGGCCCAGCTTACAAAGGTATATATATATATTCTTGAAAATATAAGTCTTTTTCTAATATTGTATTTTTTTTTAATGTGGAACAGTTTTTTAAGAGGGGTTGGGGGAGGATGTATTTTGCAAAAGCATTGTACATATTTTTACTATCCTGTAAAGAGTAGTTGCTGTTTTGAGAAGATAGGGGAGTACTTTGTCAGCCTCAGCGTAATGTTGGAGTATTGTTCATCTTCAAGACTTCAAGACACGAAGCTACACTTAATCATTTTTTTCTCTCATACATTTTTTAAAATTATACATTGGAAACTAACAAGGTTCTGGAGGAATTTCCTGGTTTTGGCTGTAAATTATGTGGACTTTTCTAAAGCAGCCAAAACAGAAGATTTCCTTTACACGGACGATTGCATGGTTATTTCTTGAATATTTTAATTGATCCCATGAAGGTCAATATTTTAAATGTGATACAGTTGTTTCTTTATGCTATAGACTTGTAGTCTGTCTACATTAGAAAAAGTTTTAAACAACCTAATTTGTTTGAACACAGACTACTTGAATTGTGTAAGTGTATAAAGTTGTTTACAGGAATATACCAATGTGTATGTTTAGCAGAGGGGCAAATTGTTACCTCCTGAAATCATTGTATATGCCATGTTTTGCGATTAAGATTGCTTGCATTTTCTGCTCAAGAATGTGTATCTTTTGTTTGGGAAAGCACTAGTGATGGATCACTTTTTAAAACAATATATTTAGCTTACAAATTGTGCCTTTAAAAAAAAGAATAGGCAGACTTTGAGGGCCAAGAAGGAAGTTGTCTAATTTTCCAAAAATCCTTTTTTCCCTGCATCAGAACTATGAAACCAAATTTAGCAACCAAGATTAATGAAAAAATGGGTTTTCCATTAGTGCTGTCCCTATCTTGTCCTTGGCTTTGTTATAGGTTGTGTCCTTATCCCCTAGAATGTATCCCAAAAAATGTCCTAGTAACAAATTGCTTTTTAAGCTCCTGTTCTGGGAAAACTACACATTAAAATTGATTCTAAAACATAAAATGGACTAAGACCATCCTATTTTATAATTCTCTAATGCAAAGTGGTTTAGCATAGAGTTAACATCTTTAGTAGTTTATAGTTTGTTTTTATTCTTATGTACTGTAAGGACCATATTTGAGTTTTGGTCTATTCCTACCATTGTTTCTTTGCGGGGAGAAGTTGGGGAGGTTTGGGGATTGGTTTTTTGGGGGAGGGTTTTTTTTGTTTTTTTTTTTACCACAGGTATTTGTAAAATAATGTTTGGGTTCAAACAAATTAGTTGTTAAACATCTGTAATCCAGTTTTCTGTAAATGTTGCTGTTGTTCTCAGCTCTGTTAATGTTAAGCATTCTTTGTATATAAATTTACAATAAAATGTTAAAACTGGTTGCTTGTTTTGTGGATGAATGTAAAGACAAACCCAATGAATGGCTGATATGACTGCTAGGTGCTTGAAGATTCAAGTTATTAGAAATCACTCCCTTAGACCCTGCTTATATCTATTTTATCTAATACCTTAAAGGTGAAGCTATGAAACTCTTAAAATTTATCTGGAGAGTTGAATTTAAAATTATGAATGCTCAATGCACATCTTTTATACTTAATTTGAAACTGACACCACTACCTAAAAAGCCTTCTGACTTCTAATACCTGCTACATAATGAGTTTGGTCATTCTACCCCAACCCCTACCTCCAAGTTATAAGTTATAATCTCATTGCTCTGACACTTGAATTATTTTCATGATTTTAAAAACATCAAGTGTTTTTCTTCTAACTTAATCTCAGTCTTTAACTCTTAGAGGAGTAGTATGTAAATCTTAACATAAGGTACAAACAGGGTCTAAGGTTTGAGTGCCCCCAGAAAGATTTTCTTCAGCCTCACAGACACCCAAACATCATGTAATGACCTAAGGAATTTTCAGTGCCTCTTCCAGGTTATACATGTAAATAGCTGTATTTAATGCAAGGTTAGTTAGGTACTGCTCTTTACAGGATGAGTGGTGTTGTCTTTGGCTGTGTGGTCTTAACTGTTTCTAATGTGTGTGTCAAATAATTACCTATTAAACAGACTGCCAATCTGGCTGAAGCCAATGCTTCTGAAGAAGATAAAATTAAAGCAATGATGTCGCAATCTGGCCATGAATACGACCCAATCAAGTAAGTTTATAAATATTTTATACTAATAGGAACTTTTGGGGTGGGTTCTCCCCCCCAATCAAAAACTTTACTTTTGTAAAGTCCTTATATACATGTAATTTTTTTTCCCCTTTTAGTTACATGAAGAAACCTCTAGGTCCACCACCTCCATCTTATACTTGTTTCCGTTGTGGTAAACCTGGCCATTATATTAAGAATTGCCCAACAAATGGGGTAAGTTCAAAGTAGAAACTACAGTATGCCTTTTGAGTTTTTTAGAATTATTTCTTAACCATCTTATTTTTCTTGGTAAATAATTGCCTTCTCTATTACAATAGCTAATGAACATGGCCTGTGGAGTCAAATTTGCCAGGCTTCACATCTTGGTTCTGTCACTTAATAGCTGAGTGAGCTCGAGCAAGTTACTTGATCTCTCCAAGCCTGGTTTTTCTTCTCTGACATGGAAATAATAATAGTACTAACCTCACATGGCAGTTGTGAGGATTAGATGAGATCATATATGTAAACCACTACAAATAATATAAGTAGTAAGCTCTGTGCCATGTTAAGCTAATTTATTAAATAAAGATAACTGCTTTTTCCCTTCCTCCTCTCCTCTTCCTTTTCCCCCCCAAATAGGATAAAAACTTTGAATCTGGTCCTAGGATTAAAAAGAGCACTGGAATTCCCAGAAGTTTCATGATGGAAGTGAAAGATCCTAATATGAAAGGTGCAATGCTTACCAACACTGGAAAATATGCAATACCAACTATAGATGCGTAAGTATGCGAATTAGGTATAACCTACGGGGGCTACAGTCAGTCCCAGGGTGTAGTGTTTTAATCTTGGGCTTGTAACTTGACTACTTGGATTCCTTGAGGACTTTGTATACCAAGATCATTAGTCTCCACTTGTTACACATCTGTAAGGCTGCAGTCTGCTCCATTTAAAGCAAATTTAAAATGGATTTGGGGATTTTTGTTATCACTGAGTGCCACTTCCCTTGTAGTCTCTAATTTTTTCTTTTTCTGTCATTCCCTGCTTTCTTCCTCATTCACATACATACTCCCACATAATTTTATTATATATGCTGCTTGCATTTTTTAAGTGAACAAAACAGATTGTAATCATTTTCAGAAACGAGGCTTAAGAATAAAAGTTCTGCAAGAAGTCAAGGCAAATTTAGGTGCCAAGCATAAATGAAATACTAAGGTATCTTGAGTAAGTTTGGATACAGCATGTGAGTAGGGTTTATTTTATAAACTATTAGTTCAGATGAGCTATTGCTCTATAACATACCTAATGCTTATTTTTAATCTGTATTCAGATTTTATTTTATGAACCAGTTTTTAATAAACTGGACAGACATGAAAATCTAGTGAAATGGTTCAACTAGATAACTTCCTATTTTACCTGCTTTTATTACTGTTTACCTTTTTTATTATTTTCAGTTGTGAATTCATGATACACAACACAATATTAAATGTTCCTTTGGATTGTGGTTGTCTAACTATTGTGCATAAGAATCTTCTACAAAAATGTGTTAAAAGATTCTGGTCAAGTAGAGTGACCTTGGGCAAAAAAGAGAAAGATTCTGGATGATTGCCCTCCCCCTCAGTTTTTGATTTAGAAGTTAATGTGAAAAGACCCTAATTCTGCATTTTTAGCAGGTCTTCCAGGAAGATTATGAAGGTAGGGGATCCTCAGAACATACTTGGAGAAACATCAGTTTAGAGAATAGTTGTTTATGTTCTCGGTGACCAGAAAAAAATATATATATAACTGTATATAGAAACACAGATTTCCTTAGCTTCAAGCTATAAATATTGTTGAAGTGTAGTTTAGTGAGCAGGTGGGAATAATAAAAATGGCTATGCTATGGAATGATATTGAAAAAATTAAATGCTTTGAATATGTACTTTTTAGTAAAGGCAATGTTTTAGTTCATAGTTAAGAATTAGTTTTCCTAAATACCTAGCCCTGCTTACTTCCTCAACTTCACCCCCATCTATTTTTTTTTTTTTTTTACCAGTCACCATCCTGTGTTTTTGTGGTTCATCTTAGAATAGTCTGTTGTTATGCTTTTTCTAATTCAGAGACATTTCATAGATGCCACCAAACAACTTCAGGTTGAAATTGGTGATTTTTACAGACACAATTTAAGAGCAGACCGCTTCATCTATATTATGTAAAAGTTTTTAAAGAATAGAAATTTGTGTTGGAAAATTAATATTGCTGTAAACCCTAACTAATAACTAACTTCATTGCTTTTGAATGCTGAAATACAAAAGCCCATTTGTGCCAAACACACAGCAAATATTGGGGAAAGATGGGAGCCCACCTATTTTAAGTGAAACTTTCACCCTCTCCACTAACACCACTGATAAGCAACTCAGACTCTTCTTCTGTTTCTTTTTCTATCCTCTGTTCTCCTCTTTTTTTTCCCCCCTTTTCTTTTCTCTCTTTTGGGCAGTGGGAGACTCCTCTTTCACAAATTGGGAACAATGGGGCATAAGCAAATTGATACTTATTTCTGGAATCGTGGTGATGTCTATGGAGCAACTGCAACACAAATAACACACCTAAGGTACCCTACTCCGTACAGCTGAGATTCTTTCATTTGCAGCATTGAGATAAACACACTCTGTTCCTAAATGATGTAGAAAGGATTTTTCTAGGAATTCCTATGTTTTACAAATGTGCCTGATTTCAGAGAAGATGGGGGTGTGGAAGCAGAGATGAGAAGTCTGAGAAGAACTTTTTTTGTTTTTTAATACTATATTTAATACCAACATTTCTGCAAAATGCATTTCTATAAAAAACTGGATCTGGAATGTCTAATGAGGTGTTACTTCACATTTTTGTAACACATATTTTGATCATTTAAGTCATTAATATTTCTTAATTGAGTAAATAAATCTCTTAAAATGCTAATTATAAGTAGGTCATTGGTTTTGAAGTCTCATTCTTTAATTATTTGTGTGATGATGACATAATAATTTCCCTTGAACTATCTTCTCTTAATTATATAATGTCAATACTAATTTTAGTTTCTCATCTTGTGGCATTCCCTTCAATACCTTCACAGGTTTGGGGTACTGTTAGAATATGGAGAGGGAAGTTTTGGTTTGGTTTCATTTTTTTTTTCCCCCCCAAGAAATATGGATTGGAAAGAATGTGATTAGAATGTTATCTAAGTTCAGATCCTGGCTCTGCCACATAAGTAGAGACTAAATGTGTTTCTTTATCTCTGTGGCCCTCAGTTTAAGAGTTAGGGATTCTAAGATCTTTTTAGCTATTTTTATGGCATTTGTTTGTTTCTTTTTGTTATATTTGTTTAGGGCTTTGTTTTGTATCTTTTTGTTGTTAGGGGGAGGATATGTAAAACTGCTGCCTTATTTTGGAAGATATTATGCTTGTCTAAACTAATTTGGCATTGTACTGAATTATAATTTCCCATGTAGAAAATGTAGCATGAATACTCTGCCTTCTTAACAATGTTAAAACATGAAAATCTTCTTTTACAGAGAAGCATATGCAATTGGGAAGAAAGAGAAACCACCCTTCCTACCAGAGGAACCATCTTCTTCATCAGAAGAAGATGATCCTATCCCAGATGAATTGTTGTGTCTCATCTGCAAAGATATTATGACGGATGCCGTTGTCATTCCCTGCTGTGGAAACAGTTATTGTGATGAATGTAAGAAATGCTGAACCTTTGCAGATACGTAGTTTAGAACATTTGTGTTTACTTGGAAAAGCTCTTGATTAAAATATGCAAAGTTGATAATAAGTGCTGAGCATGAGCATTTAGTTAGTGAAAACTGTTCTTGTTGCTACATTTTTTTTTTTTTAATTTATTTTTGCACCAGAGTCTTGCCTTGTCACCCTGGGTAGAGTACAGTGGCATCGTCTTAGCTCTGTGCAACCCTCCTGCCTCAGCCTCCCAAGTAGCTGGGACTACAGGCATGTGCCACTTTACCCAGCTAATTTTTCTATTTTTAGTAGAAATGGGGGTGTCTCACTCTTGCTTGGGCTGGTCTCAAACTCCTACGCTTAAGCAGTCCTCCTGCCTCCGCCTCCCAGAATGGTAGGATTATAGGCATGAGCCCCCGCACCCAGCTTGTTGCTACATTTTTTAATCAATAGCTTCTTTGTCCGTTATATATTAGAATTGACAACCTCCCTTACCTTCATCAGGGCAACTATATTGAGGTTTTTTAAAATACAGAATTTTTAAAATCTTTTGGGCCTTAGATAATTCTGGAAATATTTCTTAAATGGTACGTAAATCCCCTTTCCTGGATTGTAAATAATAGCTTATCTTAAAATTTCTAGGTATAATTAAACCAGCTTCACATAAACATATTACCCAGCATTTGCCATGTGGTTGTGACTTTTTTTTTATCACTTATATTAGCACTTAGTTTTTTTTCTGCCACTTTTCCTAAGTTTGTCCCTTCTTACCTGGAAGAAAATGGTGCTATCTGAAAATTTCACTATTCAATCTTGCTCATCTTTTTAACTTCTTTTCCTTTTTTTTTTTTTTTTTTTTTTAAACTCCTGGGCTCAAGCAGTCCTCCTGCCTCAGCCTGCTGAGTAGCTGGGACTACAGATATGCACCACCATGCCCATTTATCACTTCTCTTTTTAATGTAGCATAGGTCATAAGAAAAGTTAGAGCAGAGGAGTGCTTTAAGACAAGAGATTTTACTTAAGTGCCTTAACCTAGGAAATGATTGGTGCTATGTGCTTAGAAAACAGTAATGTAACTGAACAGATGTGGGCTGTCGTTTTAGTTCTTTCTATAAACGCTGAGTTTCTAGTATGCTTTTATTAATATTTAAAATCTTATAATTAGGTATAAGAACAGCACTCCTGGAATCAGATGAACATACGTGTCCAACATGTCATCAGAATGATGTCTCTCCTGATGCTTTAATTGCCAATAAATTTTTACGACAGGTAGCTATCTTTATGTCCCTTTTATGAAAAAAAAATGTTTAATCTTTTAACTCATTTATATACTTGGGTGAATATTACATTACTTTTTTTCACATTATCATGTTTGTCATCTGTAGGCTGTTAATAACTTCAAAAATGAAACTGGTTATACAAAAAGACTACGAAAACAGTTACCTCCACCCCCACCCCCTATACCACCTCCGAGACCACTCATTCAAAGGAATCTACAACCTCTGATGAGATCTCCAATATCAAGACAACAGGATCCTCTGATGATTCCAGTGACATCTTCGTCAACTCACCCGACTCCTTCTATATCTTCATTAACTTCTAATCAGTCGTCTTTGGCCCCTCCTGTACCTGGAAATCCATCTTCTACTCCAGCGCCTGTACCTGATATAACAGCAACAGTATCCATATCCGTCCATTCAGAAAAATCAGACGGACCTTTTCGGTAAGTCTGAATTTTTCAGTGTTAGAAAACAAACGAGGTCAGTGATGTAGTTAGGGGGTCTCTTGGACACTGCTGAGATACTGGATGTAGTTTTTTATTGTTGTATAATATTGCTGTAATAGTTTTCTTAGTGGACCACTGTGCTCAGTAGGGTAGGATGACTTGTAAGAAATGACTTAATACAAACGTTAAGGTTACGTAAAAAAAAAAAAAAAACAGAAATGACTTAGTCTTATTAAGGGAAGAGGCAAATGAAGGTAATTTATATGCCAAATGATTAAACATCCCAAGGTCAACTAGAGGTTGCCCCTGTTAAATGTTGAATCATATACCAATAACAGCTCTGCAGTTCAGGGATGGGAGAATTTACTTATGGTTATAATGATACTAGAAAAGAGTAGATTTAGGCAGAACTAAGAACAGTTTGGATATGTAGAGAAGAGGGATAAAAACACTGGGAGAGATAAGAGAGGTCAGGAATAATTGTTTTAGAGCATAATTATGTAGGAGAATAGTGAAAACTCACATAAATCCTACCACTTCAGAAATGAAAGGGCTCTTTCTGTTACCATGTAGTCTACTGGCTCATAAATTATTTTTAAAAAATCATCCAGCTTCTAGAAAACAGATGTCAGAGGACTATTTCAGATATACTAAAGCAAAATCTTTAGGGCGAGACCTTTACATGTGTGTAAGAAATCCACTGATCTGGTATAGCATTTTATTTGGTTCACAGTGGGAATAGGCCCAGAGTGTTCTAAGGCTTACCGAAGACTACCCCTTCATTTTAGTAGTAGAGATAGAACCCAAATTTATTCCTAATCCTGTGTTCTTTTTGTCCTCATATATAATCCACACGTTGATTTCTTTTTTTTTTTTTTTTTGAGACAGAGTCTCACTTTGTTGCCCAGGCTAGAGTGAGTGCCCTGGTATCAGCCTATCTTACAGCAACCTCAAACTCCTGGGCTCAAGTGATCCTACTGCCTCAGCCTCCCGAGTAGCTAGGACTACAGCCATGCACCACCATGCCCGGCTAATTTTTTCTATATATATTAGTTGGCCAATTAATTTCTTTCTATTTATAGTAGAGACAGGGTCTCGCTGTTGTTCAGGCTGGTTTTGAACTCCTGACCTTGAGCAATCTGCCAGCCTCAGCCTCCCAGAGTGCTGGGATTACAGGCATAAACCACTGTGCCCAGCCATACTTGTGCTATTAATTCTCCATTTCCAATGACTTTTTTTTTTTTTTTTTTGAGACAGTCTCGCTTTGTTGCCCAGGCTAGAGTGAGTACCATGGCATCAACCTAGCTCACAGCAACCTCAAACTCCTAGGCTCATGCAATCCTTCTGCCTCAGCCTCCTGAGTAGCTGGGAATACAGGCATGCACCACCATGCCCGGCTAATTTTTTCTATATATATTAGTCAGCCAGTTAATTTCTTTCTATTTATAGTAGAGACAGGGTCTCGCTGTTGCTCAGGCTGGTTTCAAACTCCTGACCTTGAGCAATCCGCCTGCCTTGGCCTCCCAGAGTGCTAGGATTACAGGCGTCATGAACCACCACGCCCGGCCTCCAATGACTTTTTAATGCATTGTAAATTATATTTGTTTTCTAGAGATTCTGATAATAAAATATTGCCAGCTGCAGCTCTTGCATCAGAACACTCGAAGGGAACTTCCTCACTTGCAATTACTGCTCTTATGGAAGAGAAGGTAAATTTCATTGGCTCTTAAATTTTGAGTTTGTTTGTAATTGAGTTTTGTTTTGTTTTTAACACTTCCTTTTTTTAAACTGTTTTTATTTGTGCTTTTCCTAAAGGGTTATCAAGTGCCTGTACTTGGAACCCCATCTTTGCTTGGACAGTCATTATTGCATGGACAGTTGATCCCTACAACTGGTGAGTAAAATCATTTTGGTTTAGACCTTTGTTCCCTTTAAAGAATAATTTTAGCTTTATTTAACATGCAATTTTATATTTACTTACAGTTTTTGCTTATTTTTTGTTTCTAAGGTCCAGTAAGAATAAATGCTGCTCGTCCAGGTGGTGGTCGACCAGGTTGGGAACAGTAAGTATATATTTAAAATAATCGTCATATGATTGCCTTCTAACTAGATAAGAGAAACTACAAACTAGGCAGTGTGTTGCCAAATGCTTTTTGTTGTAAACACCTTTTATTGTGCCAGATTAACATACTTTTTATGTAAAATATAAAAATCAGTAATTCTCTAAAATATAAAATCTTATATGTTCTTTTCTACTGTCTTGTCTAACAAATGAAGATCTTGACAGGACCTTAGTTAATGAGTAGATAAAAGTTACTTGAAAACTTATTTTATATATAGGATCAGTTATTTTCCTATCCTTAATTTGGATGACCAAAAATGGAGTACATAAATACGTATTAAGATTAAAGTCTACCAAACAAGATTTCTCATTTTGAATAGCATCTGTTATACAATCTTACAGCATATTAAAATCTAAATTTTCTGCCCAGAAATACAAAGAAGTTTGGTCTTCTGTGGGTTGTCTTGTGGCATTAAAAATCAGTAGATTTATTTAATATCCTTCTATTTATACCATTGTTTCTGTTTATGTAATCTAATGTATGATTGACATAATCTGAAATTTGATCTTTTTGTTTGACAAACTAAATTTCTTATACCGGGATATATAGGCCAAAGTAAAACTTTAAAAAGAAAGAAAGAAAAAACTAAATTTCTCATAAAGTATGTTAAGGAAGAGGCTAGCAGAATATATCAGTAAAAGAACATGGGATTTAGAGACAGGTAAACCTGAATTTGAATCTCAGCTCTTCCATTTACTAGCTACATGACAGTAACCTCCACTTCCTCATTTGTAGAATTGGAATGCTGCTAACCTTAACATGTAAATGTAAACCTTTTATGTAAAGGTTTACATGTAAAATGTAAACCTTAACATGTAAAATGCCTATATAATGTAGTAAAGGCAATTATAGGACACTAATTAAAATATAATATTACAGAAAATTAGCTGGGCATGGTAGTTTACACCTGTAATCCAGCACTTTGTGAAGCCAAGGCAAGAGGATCACTTGAGACCAGGAATTCAAGACCAGCCTGGACAGTATAGTGAGACTCTACTGCTACAGAAAAAAAAAATTAGCCGGGCATGGTGGCCCATGCCTGTAGTCCCAGCTACTCTGGAGGCTGAGGCAGGAAGATCGCTTGAGCCCAGGAGTTTGAGGCTGTAGTGAGCTATGATTGCGCCACTGACAGAGCAAGAGCCTGTCTCATAAATAAATAAGTTGAGACCCTATCTCTAAAATAAATTGAGTAAATTCAAATATTACAGAAAATATAACACATTGAGGTTTAATTACTGTTATACTACAGTTATTCAGGGGAAGCTAATTTTAAGCAAATATAATATTTGCTCAGATCTCTTCTATCTGGAACAAGTGAAGACTCAGGAAGTAGGCAGGTGTCGTGGCATACACCTGTAGTCCCAGCCACTTGGGAGACTGAGACAGGAGAATCACTTAACCAGGAGTTTGAGACAGCCGTGTGCTATGAATCCATCAGTGTACTCCATCCTGGGCAACAGCAAGACCCTGTCTCTAAATAAAAGAAAGCACATTAAAAAGAAAATCAGGAAATAGGAAAAGGTTTTCAAAGAAGTTAAAATAGATATCTTAATGTCTACACATGGAATGATCATGTATTATACCCATGGAAAAATACACAAAACTATTTTATCTTTTTTCTTCCACACAGTTCCAATAAGCTTGGCTATCTGGTTTCTCCACCACAGCAAATTAGAAGGGGGGAGAGGAGCTGCTACAGGTAGGCTGCTAAAAATCTGAAAGTAATGATCTTATGACATACTGAAAAATATACCACAAAGAAATTAAAGCATACCAATGGCAGGAGAATGTGGGGGGTCATTTGTTTGGATTTTGCTTATCTCCTAAATCCTCAGTAGTTATCCTTAAAGAGTGCTAGAAAAGAATAAATTACATTTAGTATTTTAAATGATGGTTTTTAAGGCTACATTATTTATATTCCTTCCCAGTGATTACTTTCTCCCTGTTAGCACACAGCATAATATTGGCTTGCATTTACCCTCTTTAGAGGGTAATAAATGAAAAGATAAAAATAAAGTAGTGGAAGAAAGTCATTAAAGCCCAGACAATATTTAGGACATCAATTTAAGATGAAAATTAACTAGCTCAGCTCCCAAGTGTGAAGAAGTATTACATTTATTTCTCTTCTAGATTCAACTGTCCTAGTCATCCCCTACCTTCCTTTTTCCAAAAGAAGAGACAAGGATATTGTTAGGGGCTCTTGCCCTTGGCAGTCACAAGCAATGTTAATCTAAGAAGTAAACCATATAGGTCTTACTGTCTAGGTCATAGTCTCCTCCAGGCTCAAGGGGCCTCCAAAACTTTATAACATGAATATTAAGAGTATCTTCTACTGTTCCATTGAGAATTGCTAAGCTTATGAAGATTTACTATTTCATTACTAGAATTCACGTGAAGCTAATATTTACTAATTCGTGGCTTTCTGAAAAGAGACTTAAAATTTAAACCCCTGCTACTATTGTTATGTACCAGTTGCCTATAATTTAAAGAACCTTTAGCTTAAGACAAGTAAGCCCACTTTGTTTCTTTGATGAAGCACAAAGAAACTTTAACCAGCACTTGTTTTTACTTAACCCTTTGAGAGAAAACATTGAGATTTTTAGTTGTTAATTACAGATGTTAAAACTGGTATTCTACTTTGTATGATCTTCACCTACTTCCTCACAAAATGTAGTTATAGGAGGTGGTTTTTCTTCATTTAAACTTTTGGGCACTGGCTGGGCGCGGTGGCTCACGCCTGTAATCCTAGCACTCTGGGAGGCCAAGGCCAAGGCCAAGGCGGGCGAATTGCTCGATGTCAGGAGTTTGAAACCAGCCTGAGCTAGAGCGAGACCCCGTCTCTACTATAAATAGAAAGAAATTAATTGGCCAACTAATACATATAGAAAAAATTAGCCGGGCATGGTGGCACATGCCTGTAGTCCCAGCTACCTGGGAGGCTGAGGCAGCAGGATCGCTTGAGCCCAGGAGTTTGAGGTTGCTGTGAGCTAGGCTGACGCCACGGCACTCTAGCCTGGGCAACAAAGTGAGACTCTGTCTCAAAAAAAAAAAACTTTTGGACACAAAAGGCATTTTGGAGAGAACTAGGTCACAATCCTGTCAGTTCCATCAAAAGACAGATGAGGAAGTAACAGGTAATAATTAGTGGAGTGATAATCAATGTAAACTTCACAAAAGAGAACTTTTAAATACAGTATTTTCAGACCAGGTGTGATGGCTCATGCCTATAATCCTAGCACTTTGGGAGGTCAAGGCAAGAGGTGAGGCTAGGAGTTTGAGACCACCCTTGGCAACATAATGAGACCTCCTTTCTACAAAAAAATTTAAAAATTAGCTTGGTGTGGTGGTACACACTTGTATTCCCAGCTACTTGGGAGGCTAAAATGGAAGGACCCCAGGAGTTCAAGGCTATGGTGAGCTGTGATCATGACACTGCACTCCAGCCTGGGTGACAGAGCAAGACACAGCCTCTAAAATACGTATATAAAAAATTTGTTGTTAATTATAGTATTTACGTATAGAGAAAGTCCTATAAATTTGTATCATCTCAGTCCCTAAGTGGCCTTAAAAATAAAGTTTTGTTATAGAGTTACTTTTACAAATAAATGCTACCAGTGTTTCTATACTCCGTGAATAGTTGAATCTGTTCCATTGTTTGTAAGTTTGAAAATAGTTATGGATAGAAAAGACAAACTTAGATAACTTTAATTTGAAGGAATAATATCTTGGAATTTATTTCTCCAGAAGTATAAACCGTGGGCGACACCACAGCGAAAGATCACAGAGGACTCAAGGCCCATCACTACCAGCAACTCCAGTCTTTGTACCTGTTCCACCACCTCCTTTGTATCCACCTCCTCCCCATACACTTCCTCTCCCTCCAGGTGTTCCTCCCCCACAGTTTTCTCCTCAGTTTCCTCCTGGCCAGCCACCACCTGCTGGGTATAGTGTCCCTCCTCCAGGGTTTCCTCCAGCTCCTGCCAATTTATCTACACCCTGGGTGTCATCAGGAGTTCAGACCGCTCATTCAAATACCATCCCAACAACCCAAGCACCACCTTTATCCAGGGAAGAATTCTATAGAGAGCAACGACGACTAAAAGAAGAGTAAGTATTTTAATTTGAAATTATTATACACTTTTTTCATTTTCTGATATAACATTAAATAGGTATCTTTGGAAACATTGTCCAATGTTTCCAGTTAGTACAAGAAAATTCACCTAAAATTTAAACCAAAGCCATATAAGCAACTTCCTCAGGGATTCCTAGTTATTTATAGTTTTAAAATGGAAAACTAATGACAATTTCATTCATTTCATTCATGATCTAATTACATTTGTCTTGTTAGTTTTCTTAAATGGTTTTTGTTAACTTTCACTCTTTAACTTTATTTTACTAGGGAAAAGAAAAAGTCCAAGCTAGATGAGTTTACAAATGATTTTGCTAAGGAATTGATGGAATACAAAAAGATTCAAAAGGAGCGTAGGCGCTCATTTTCCAGGTTAGTGTTTTGCAAGCCTTCACAACAGAATTACAAATGGGACTTTGAATATCCAGGGATTAGCTATGGATATAAATAACATTGTACTTACGGAATTTTTCTGATTCGGTCTAGGTATACAGAAATGAAGATATAGCTTATTTCCCAATATCTGTTTAATGAAGTAATGTCTCAGTGTAAATTCTATTGTGTAGAACTAGCAGTTTATGGGGATTAAATTGCCCTTGTCCCTTGAAGTTATTTATAGATGAAATAATTGGGAAATGTTTTTGGAAGGAAAGAAATAGGAGAATAGCCAAAGAACATTTCTGAGGACCGTTTCACCATAAGGCTACAGCTTCATGCTGGAACATTAACCTGTGTAATTAATTTTTTTTGGTTTTTTTTTTTTTTTTTTGTGCTGGGATCTTATTGGATGTGTAATTAAATTGACGTAGTGGTAGAATACAAATTGCTTTATTGCTAGAAACACTGAATTATAAAAAAGCCCTGGAAGTTTGTTTAAAACACTTTAAAACTAGGCTTTTGGCCAGTATAGGACAAAAAATAGACTCCTACTTAAATAATTAGATAGGAAGTGAAATTTAATTTAATTGGCATTTTGTTTACTGTTAGTTAGCTCATATAACTCACGGTACATTAATGCACTCCACTCTAATTGTTAAGATTTCACTTTTATTTTGTAACAAGTGATTGCTCTGATTTATGCACTTTATTCCATTTCAATAGAGGTCACTGCACCTCTTTAATCATCTAAGATGAAACTTGATATAAAGACAGATGAAACCGTGAGGACAGAATGCTAGAATCTGAGATTCTTTATTTTATTTTGTGTATATTTCTCAACTATCAACTATTGTTTTGTTTTTGTTTCTAGGTCTAAATCTCCTTATAGTGGATCCTCATATTCAAGAAGTTCATATACTTACTCTAAATCAAGATCTGGTTCAACACGTTCACGGTCTTATTCTCGATCATTCAGCCGCTCACATTCTCGTTCGTATTCACGATCACCTCCATACCCCAGAAGAGGCAGAGGCAAGAGTCGAAATTACCGTTCACGGTCTAGATCTCATGGATATCATCGATCTAGGTCAAGGTCACCCCCGTATAGACGCTATCATTCACGATCAAGATCTCCTCAAGCGTTTCGGGGACAATCTCCTAATAAACGTAATGTACCTCAAGGGGAAACAGAACGTGAATATTTTAATAGATATAGAGAAGTTCCACCACCTTATGACATGAAAGCTTATTATGGGAGGAGTGTTGACTTTAGAGACCCATTTGAAAAAGAGCGTTACCGAGAATGGGAGAGAAAATATAGAGAGTGGTATGAAAAATATTATAAAGGTTATGCTGCTGGAGCACAGCCTAGACCCTCAGCAAATAGGGAGAACTTTTCTCCAGAGAGATTTTTACCACTTAATATCAGGAACTCTCCCTTCACGAGAGGCCGCCGAGAAGATTATGTTGGTGGACAAAGTCATAGAAGTCGAAACATAGGTGGCAACTATCCAGAAAAGCTTTCAGCAAGAGATGGTCACAATCAGAAGGACAATACAAAATCAAAAGAGAAGGAGAGTGAAAATGCTCCAGGAGATGCTAAAGGAAATAAGCATAAGAAACATAGAAAAAGAAGAAAAGGAGAAGAAAGTGAAGGTTTTCTGAACCCAGAGTTATTAGAGACTTCTAGAAAATCAAGAGAACCAACAGGTGTTGAAGAAAATAAAACAGACTCATTGTTTGTTCTTCCAAGTAGAGATGATGCTACACCTGTTAGAGATGAACCAATGGATGCAGAATCCATCACTTTTAAATCAGTGTCTGAAAAAGACAAGAGAGAAAAAGATAAACCAAAAGCAAAAGGTGACAAGACCAAACGGAAAAATGATGGATCTACTGTCTCCAAAAAAGAAAGTGTAAAACCTGCTAAAGGACCCCAAGAAAAACTAGATGGAGAGCGTGAAAAATCTCCTCGATCTGAACCTCCACTTAAAAAAGCCAAAGAGGAGACTCCAAAGACTGACAATGCTAAATCTTCATCTTCCTCTCAGAAAGATGAAAAGATCATTGGAACCCCCAGAAAAGCTCACTCCAAATCAGCAAAAGAACACCAGGAGATAAAACCAGTCAAAGAGGAAAAAGTAAAGAAGGACTATTCCAAAGATGTCAAATCAGAAAAGCTAACTAATAAGGAAGAAAAAGCCAAGAAGCCTAATGAGAAAAATAAACCACTTGATAACAAGGGAGAAAAAAGAAAAAGAAAAACTGAAGAAAAAAGTGTAGATAAAGATTTTGAGTCTTCAATGAAAGTCTCTAAACTAGAAGTAACTGAAATAGTGAAACCATCACCAAAACGCAAAATGGAACCTGATATTGAAAAGTTGGATAGGACCCCCGAGAAGGACAAAATTTCATCATCAACAGCTCCAGCCAAAAAAATCAAGCTCAACAGAGAAACTGGAAAAAAAATTGGAAGTACAGAAAATATATCTAATACAAAAGAGCCTTCTGAAAAATTGGAGTCAACATCTAGCAAAGTTAAACAAGAAAAAGTCAAAGGAAAGGTCAGACGAAAAGTCACTGGGACTGAAGGATCCAGCTCAACTCTTGTGGATTATACCAGGTATCCGATGGTGGGTGGGTGGGTGTGGATGTTTGTTTTGGGAAAGGATTTTATTTAATTTTATGCTTGCTTGTACTTCTTACGTTAATTAAGAAGGTACTGATCCTGGGGATTAGGCTGCTTGTACTCTTGTTTTCTTTAAAGAAAGGAATTATTAAAGACAAGATTGTGAGTAAATTTGGGGGGTAAACCACATTTGTTTTTATGCTATCAATCATATTCTTAAATCATGTGTATCTTTATTAGAGCAGGATAATTGGGCTTTTTAAAATTGAAAGGACATTTATTGTGTTCAAGTTAGCATTTTTATATTTATCAATATTTTATAATAATAAATTCTTCATTGATTAAAAATATTTTTATTCTTTTTAGTACGAGCTCAACGGGAGGCAGTCCTGTGCGGAAATCTGAAGAAAAAACAGATACAAAGCGAACTGTCATTAAAACTATGGAAGAATATAATAATGACAATACAGCACCTGCTGAAGATGTTATTATTATGATTCAGGTTCCTCAATCCAAATGGGATAAAGATGACTTTGAATCTGAAGAAGAAGATGTTAAATCTGCACAGCCTATCTCAAATGTAGGAAAACCTGCTAGTATCATAAAAAGTGTTAGTACTAAGCCATCAAATACAGTCAAATATACTGAAAAAGAAAGTGAGCAATCAGAGAAAATTCAGAAATTCACCAAGGAGGTGAGCCATGAAATTATACAACATGAGGTCAAAAGTTCAAAAAACTCTGCATCTAGTGAAAAGGGGAAAACCAAAGATCGAGATCATTCAGTGTTGGAAAAGGAAAACCTTGAAAAGAGGAAGAGCAGCACTCAGCTAGAGAAAGATAGTAATTTGGACCGTCTGAATGAACCAGGAAATTTCAAAAGTCTGTCTCAATCTTCCAAAGAGACTAGAACTTCAGATAAGCATGATTCTGTTCGTGGTTCTTCAAATAAAGACTTCACTCCCAGCAGAGACAAAAAAGCCGACTATGACAGCAGAGAGTATTCAAGTTCCAAACGTAGAGATGAAAGGAATGAATTAACAAGAAGAAAAGACTCTCCTTCTCGGAATAAAGATTCTGTATCTGGACAGAAAAATAAACTGAGGGAAGAGAGAGATTTGCCTAAAAAAGGAACAGGAGATTCCAAAAAAAGTAATTCTAGTCCTTCAAGAGATAAGAAACCTCATGATCACAAAGCCACTTATGATACTAAACGGTCAAGTGAAGAGACAAAGTCTGTAGAGAAAAATCCTTGCAAGGATCGTGAAAAGCATGTATTAGAAGCAAAGAACAATAAAGAATCAAGTGGCAATAAATTACTTCATATACTTAACCCACCAGACACACAGATTGAAAAAGAGCAAATTACTGGGCAAATTGATAAGAATGCTGTCAAGCCTAAACCCCAGTTAAGTCATTCCTCTAGACTTTCCTCGGACTTAACTAGAGAAACTGATGAAGCTGCTTTCGAACCAGACTATAATGAAACAGACAGTGAAAGTAATGTGTCTATAAAAGAGGAGGAAACTTCAGGAAACATTTCTAAGGACCTGAAAGATAAAATAACAGAGAAAGCAAAAGAGAGTGTAGACCCAGCAACAGTTGGCCAGGTGGGTGTAAGAAGCCAGAGTCAAAGCAGCCCTAGTGTTAGTCCAAGCCGAAGTCATAGCCCTTCTGGAAGCCAGACCCGAAGCCACAGTAGCAGTGCCAGCTCAGCAGAAAGTCAGGACAGCAAGAAGAAGAAGAAAAAGAAGGAAAAGAAAAAGCACAAGAAACATAAAAAACATAAGAAGCATAAGAAACATGCAGGCACTGATGTAGAATTGGAAAAAAGCCAAAAACACAAACACAAGAAAAAGAAGTCAAAGAAGAACAAAGATAAAGAAAAGGAGAAGGAGAAAGATGACCAAAAAGTGAAATCTGTCACTGTGTAAAAGGACAGATTTTAAAAATTGACTTAATTACTAAGTCATCTGTATTAAATTTTGTTATAATGTAAAGAGATTCAAGCCTTGTAAATAATGACATGGAAGACCCTGTGCTGCACTTAAAATATTGCTGCTTGATTATTTGATTTTTACATCAGAGCTTTATAACACGAACTTTTGTACAGAATTGTGAGTTGTGACCATGTAACATGAGAGGTTTTGCTAGGGCCTATTATTTTTAACCACCATTGATTAGTTGGGGTGGAGTTTACTGTACTGTGAAATTTTCACATTTGAATTTTTTTAATTGCCTGGCAAAAGCTGATATCAGTTCTAAAATATCAGCAGAATGATTTGCTGAATTCATTACAATCCCGTTATGTCACTTTTTGATTACAATAAAAGTTTTCAGTAAACTTTTCAAATGTTGAATTATTTGCATTATTTAAAGAAAGAAGTGTCATATCTCTTCCCCTTTCCATATCTCTATTTTTAAAATCCTTTGATTTTTTTAATGTAAGCTGAACTGAAAATACAAAATTCTAAACTAAACATTGAAGATATACTTCATAAGTGGGCTGGTGGTAGGTGGCTAAGAAATAAATCAGGACTAATTTGGAGACGTGGTTAAATAAATCTAGGTGAGTCTTGATATAGTAATTAGACGTTTGAATTTCTAAAAAGGTTTGGATTTAAATTTTAGAAATAAATTGTGATGCTTATGGCCACATTTTTCTTAAAAGCTTGATAAATGAAAATTGGATTCCTTGATAAAGTGGAATGCAGCTAAGCCAGTGAGTCTGTGGCGTACCTAATCTGCTCAGTTGACAAAAGCAAGCTGTAAATAACTGAATAAGACTATAATGAGTGTCCTTCGTTATTGTCGTCCAGGAGGTGTATTGTGGACAGTGAAAAGCTACTGAAAGAATTTGGGGGGAATGAGAATGGTAATTTAGAAACGTGGTATAAATAGGGATTAAGAAAATAATCTGTATTGTGAAAAGGGACCAGTTCTGGTATATGGTGGTGGTCCTAGAGTACTGTATGAGGGGCCATGAACTTTGGTAGTGGAAGATGAAGGAAAGGATTGACATTAGCAGCAATGTCCTATTAACCTGCCTTGATTCGGTATTTCCAGAGTGTGCCATGTGCACAGTACTGTGTACTATTGGTACTCAGTTTTAAGTGGTACGCACACACTTTTATGAATGTTTTTAGTGTAACATTTAATATTTTAAAAATATTAAGTGATTTAAAGAAAAATTATATGGGTAACACAAGTACTATAAACATTAAAGCTGTTCAGGGCTGAATTAAATTTGAGAAATGCTGCCTTTGAGTCAAAACAGCTTTCCTCCAAAGGTCTCTGCTTTTGTTATGATACTTAATTACATTTGCTTATTCCCAGACACCCCTGTTGTCAGTGGTGGGATGTCTGTTCTAACCATTCCTACCTTTTACCACCCCACACAGGACATGTACGGCCACTTCTGCTTTCAGATAATCCAGCTGGATTATATGCTTTAATTCCTGCTAATCTGGACCAAAGATCCCGATTATATCTCACATTCATAGGATTTGACACCCAGGCTGACTTTTTATCATAAATTATATCATCTGAAGTCAGTTATGTTACTTAAGTTCATTGTTCTTTAATTTTAAGGTAAATTGACCTTTAACTTCATCCCTATGACAACTCCCCTTTTAGATTTAAGCTCCAATATTTCACCCCCAATTTGGTCCAATTCTCTGTTGGTTTTATTTAGGCCTAAGGTTTCAAGTCATCCATTAGTCACTCTTCTATTATTTCTCTTCTCTAGTTACCTATACCCTGTCATTTCAACCACATACTAATATCTCCAAAGCCTGCTGCTCCTTACCTATCTTGCTGCACCTAAACAGCCAACCTTCAAACCTGGATTAGGGTGCTGAACACTGCTTAACGAAACTAAAGGCTTAAAAGACAAAATTTAAGAAGTAATTTATTTGCCAGGCACTATGCCAAGTGCTTGTACTTTATTTAAGCACCTTAAAAATTCCAGTGGCTCTTGATGTCTTAAATTACTTTAAGCAGGACAGTCCACTGCCTATGAAAGTTCAGTTTAACCGTGGATATTCAAGCTACTGCCTAACCCAACTCATCCCTACCACGTGGAAGAGTCGGCTGGCATGTAAGACTTCACCTATTTTTGCTGTTCTCCCAGGGTGATGTATTATATCTCCCTATCTTTAGCACTTGGCTGTTTCATCTGACTGGAATTAACTTTCTCCTTTGCCCTGCCTCATAATTTCCTACTGATTGTTAGAGTTAGGTTGCCTTTTTTAAATCATTCCCTCACAGTACCAGCTGGCACCCTCCCCCACCCCAGCCTACCCCACCCTACACACCTGAGGTGCAATAGCATCACTGAATATACTGTAGTAACACTTTGCAAATTGTTTTTTATGGGCTCTGTTTGGTTGCCTCCCTCACTAAACTAAGCATGAGCTCCTCAAAAAGAATGTCTGAGTTGGGCATGGTGGCTTAAGCCTATACTCCAAACACTTTGGGAGGCCAAGGCAGGAGGATCTCTTGAGGCCAGGAGTTCAAGGCTAGCCTGGGCAACATGGCAAGAGCCCATCTCTACCAAAAATAAATGTAAAAAGCCAGGCATGATGGCACACGCCTGTAGTCCCAGCTACTTCGGAGGTTGAGGCAGGATTGCCTGAGCCCAGAAGTTTGAAGTTGCAGTGAGCTATGATTGCACTGCTGCAAGTCCAGCCTGGGCAACAATGAGACCATGTCATTTAAAAAAAAAAAAAAAGTCTGGTTTACATTCCAGAAGTCAAACCATGCCTTGCACATAGTAATCAATAAACATTTGAAATAATGACAGCAAATTTTTTTTTAACTGTGAGGTTAAGTTTTACCAAGGAAATTAATTCTCACCCTACACAGTGGCCAGAAGAAATATGTGTAGAGGCTGGTAAGAGCAAACTAGACAACCAGCAACATGTCAGTTTTTAAGGGAGGAAATTAATCGTGACCTACTAGAGCTTTGAGAAGTACAATAGTATCTTTCCAGTACTTAGGTACTTTGGTATGCCAAGGATATTCCAAAGTGTTAGAAGCTTAAAAATATATCTCCTTTGCTAGTGTCAGCATGCCAAATGAAGGGAGCTAAACCCTCTCCAAAATATTTAAGCCAGGAATTTCAGAGGGGCAAAACCTACTTAATGGTTTGTTCATCCCAATTTGTGCAAGTGTGCCCATGTATGTGTTGTCCACTTTTTCCTGTCTTTAGCTCCTTTAATGATTGCTGTTCTTATTGTGTAAAACTATATAGAACGAAACCTCTGATTTGAAACATGCTTTTTCTGAGCCCTTTTAATACTACTGCTTATTTAATTAAGCTATCTTCAGTGGTTCTCTGTTATTTTTAACAAAAAAGCCTCATATATGTGTGTGTGTATATGTATGTATATGTGTATATATAAAAATATATGTTTATTATGTATATAAAGTGTATACCCTGCTTTTTTTCTTATATGTCATAAACATCCCTTTGACATTAAAAATATTCACAAACATTTTTAATTTTGAAAATTGGAATGGTCAGGAAAGACTAGAATTGGATTAAGTATGCCACTTAAATCCTTGATAAAGGGTTCTGTGGAGCTGCTGTATGTGAATAACTTTAGCATGTTAATAAAGAAATAAGGCTAACAGGAATATTAAAAAGGTTTCAGGTGAATTCAGTAATCTAAAGTATAAACAACTTATTAAGTAAGGCTCCTCTTTGATGTAAGCTTTTAAGATTAGGATCATGTTAAAAGGACTTTTAAAAAAACAACTATTTCTAATTTCTTTGTGTACTTTTCCTTTTACTAAATTTAATGAGTTGAACAGTGATCTCATGTTAAAGCCAACATGAACATGAATCTTACTTTTCCACTTTGTTTGAAATGTGGCTATTTAGTAGTTTGCTGTGAAGTTGGCTTGGCCAGTATGAATCTTTTTCAATTTAGGTTTCTAAGTTTAAAGCCTTTAATAGTAAAAGATTCTACTATGAGGATGGACATATATTTAGAATTCAAAATAAAATATTATTCTTTTGTAGAAAGATTGACACCTTAATAAAATTTTGATATTTATTTTTTATCCTAGCTTGACACATAAAGGTGGTAGACTGATTGCTTTTTATATCCCAAAAGCTAAAACCAGTGAAAACAAATATGATGAAAAATGAAGATAGGGAAAACTATATCAGTGCTAGAAACCAGGAAAGGATAGAAGGGACAGACATAGCCAGAAATGTGGGATTTCTGCTATAGTACCACATCTTTAAAATGGAGAAAAAAAAATAGGCAGGTACCCATCAACTGACAGTTCTTCCTTGAGAAAGCAGATGATCTCTTGGGAAGCTTGAGGAGAACAGCATTATGAACACCCCATAATTTGGAAGGACAAAGGAGCAAATGAGGAATGTCTCTTTTGAAATCAATTAATATGAAAATTGCACAAAAGAAACCTGAAGCATAGGCTATGATGTTGAGAATGGAGGAAGATTCTATCCAAAGCCAGATGTCATAGCAGGTCTCTTTGCCAGGAAGGAGGCCAGGCTACACAGCCCTCTTTCTCCTGGCTATTACAGGGTGGGATGTGAGAGTAGGGACATATAATTTTCAAAGCATCATGATACTGGTAGAATAGGCAGAAGAGTCAGTGGAATTGAGCAAAATGCCAAAAATTGGGCCAAATATGAAAGTATAATACATAACAGTTGCATCATAAGTAAATGTGAATAAGATAGATTTTTTAATTTTTTTTTTTTTTTTTTTTTTTTTTTTAGACAGAGTCTCACTCTGTTGCCTGGGCTAGAGTGCCGTGGTGTCAGCTTGGCTCACAGCAGCCTCAAACTCCTAGACTCAAGCAATCCTCCTGCCTCACCTCCTGAGTAACTGGGACTACAGGCATCTCCACCATGCCTGGGTAATTTTTTCTATATATTTTTTAGTTGGCCAATTAATTTCTATTTTTAGTAGAGATGGGGTCTCACTCTTGCTCAGGCTGGTCTTGAACTCCTGAGCTCAAATGATCCGCCCACCTCAGCCTCCCAGAGTGCTAGGATTACGGGCATGAGCCACCATGCCCAACAGATTTTTAAATATTAATACATAGCTTTGAAAGAACTGGATGACCACCTAAACAAAAAGATTTTTCACATTTTAAAATTCTATAATTGATGTAAATATTTTTATCTAATATTTTGTTATATATTTAGGATTCAAAATAAAATATTCTTTTGTAGAAATGTTAGCACCTTAATAAAATTTTGATATTAATAATTGTTAAAATATGTTTTAACCTAGATTATATTCCTCCCATCTTCTAGGATCACCTTCTCTTTAATAGGTAGGTCTTTGTTATTTCAACTGGCCAGTC